TGGTTTTTTTGTTGGCCCCCCCCCCCGCCAATTTCCAATGGGTCTTGCACTCTCTGTTTGCTTTTTTGGGGTTTTTTTGTTTGCATTTCCGATGGGTCTTGCAGTGTTTGTTTGCTTTTTGTTTGCTTTTTCCTTCAGCCGGAATGGATTAATCATGTTTCTGATGGGTCTTTGCAGGGTTTGTTTGCTTTTCGGTAATTTTTTCTTTTTGCATTTCCGATGGATCTTGCAGTGTTTGTTTGCTTTTTTTTTCCCTTCAGCCAGAATGGATTAATCATGTTTCTGATGGGTGTTTGCAGGGTTTTTTTGTTTTGTTTTGTTAGTAGGGGGGGGGGTTGGTGAATTTTTCTTCAGCCAGAGTGGATTAATTGCATTTCAATGCATTCCTATGGGAAATGGTGCTTCGACCTACAACCATTTTGAGTTACAACCAGAGTTCCAGAACCAATTAAGTTTGTAAGTCGAGGCACCACTGTATTGTAATTTCCATGCAATGTTCACATTTGTTCCTACATAGAAGTGCTGCATGCAGAGTGAATTTGAAACATAAAAAGTGAACTCTAACGTGTTGGTGGCACAGTAGTTAAACTGCTGTACTGCAGCCAAAACTGCTCACGATCTGGGGTTCTATCCCAGGTAGCCGGCTCAAGGTTGACTCAGCCTTCTATCCTTCCAAGGTCGGTAAAATGGGGGGCAATGTGTAGCCTGCATAATTGAATTGTAAACCACCCAGAGAGTGCTTTTTGGTAGACTGTTTTCATTTTCACATAATAATACATGGCAACATAAACTTGAAGACAGCCCCCACAAGTCATATTTTCTAAATCCTTGAGATATAATTGATCCACATTGTCCTTACTGAAGTGAATGGAAGTTGCAGAAAATACCAGGAATTAAACAGCTTTGCTTTATCAGACATATCTGGTTTATAGTCCAAAAGTAAAGTGCAGAGCTTTCTCATCTTTCTCTTACATATTTTTTTTGCACCACCCAGTTTGCCTTTGACTGAATAAATGTGTGTAAAAGGTGTGCTTCCTCTTTATGTGCTATAAATAGATATGGTCAAGTTAATGTTTATTCACCTCCTCACTATTGCCTGATGAAAACTACAGAAGTATGTTTTTAGTCATGGTAGTAACTTCGAGCACAAGCCTTGGTCTCTTCAGTAAAACTTGAGAAGAATCTGACCCGTAACAACAAAGCACAAGCCTTGGTCTCTTCAGTAAAACTTTGCATCTCTGTAGGAACATCCAAGAGAAGGATTTCTAAGTATACCTTTGTTAAACAATGGTTGAGACAATCAAATTGCTCACTCCTGAATGCATCAACTGGCTTGTGCTCAAGTTATGTTTTGATACAATAGTGTACTATTTTTAATTAGTTAAGCAGCCAGAAAGAAAATATATTGCTAGCAGAAACTAGAATGGCTTGAAGTGAATAAATTTGAACTGTTCTAAACATATGCTCCTTCTTTGCTTTGCAAATTACTTTGCCTTAAGGATATTTTGTGAAATTAACGTGAAGAGTTTAGACAGACACACAGAGAGCTGATCTGCAATGCAGCCTCAACCCTTGGTATGAAACCAGCAGACAGTTATGGATTATTGTATTTCCACTGAACTGAAACAAGCTGTTTGTTAGAGTTAACCTCCACCCCCTTCATTTGTGTCCCCTCAACAGATAAGCCAGACGCAAGTTCTTGTTTCAAACCATCAACCTTAGTTTCATACTCCATAGATATTACCAGGAAACTACTTTTCTGATTTCTCTTCTTTCCCCAATGAAGGAGGGGAAGGGGTTCAACGTATGGTTCACTGGGGCGCCCAGCCTCCCCAATCCTGGGGTCTTTTCAGTCACACAGTTCAGCCATACCAAAGGATCTCCTGGCTCTGGCAAGTACAATAGGTGCAATGATTTGTCAATCCACCAGTCCCTTGCTTTTGTGGTCTTCTCTAGGGAAGCAATTCCCTACCTCCTCATTGGTGAAAGCTCTCATTGGGGCGAAAGCCCTTCCCTTCTATGTTCTCCCTTCACTGCCTCACTACCTGTGCCCACTCTTGTCTTCTCTTTGTGTTCTATTCCCGGCTGTCTTTCTCTCCAGTATGAAGGTTTCCTGGGTGGTGGTTGGCTATTTCCGTGTCTCTCTGCTCCTCCCTAGGCACCATCAACCATTCTCAGTTATGTGTCCAGGGATTCTCTAACCATAGCCATTCCCACCCCTCTGGCAGCACCTTGTTCTCTTTCTTCATTTCCACCATACCAGCCTCCACCTCACTGCTTCTCATACTCTCCTCCCCATATTGTCCGTGGTCCTCCTTATTTATATCCTCTGTTTCCCTTTCCAATCCCTTCTTCCTTCTACTTCTCCCACTTTTTTCCCTGTCCTCTTCTCTTCAGTTTCTCTTTTTCTTCGGTCACATCTTTCCACTTTGTAGTCATGAATTCCCTCCACCTTTCCAGGGCATTGGGAACAGCACTAGGGCAGAGCCTAGCACTCTCTTGCCCCCTTTCTCACACTGTTATAGACTGCAAAGTTTTGCAAGTGAAAAACCACGTTCAAATTCCATTACACTCAATGCTAGGTGTTTCCATTAATTTGGATAGGACATGGGTTCACACCATCAAACAAATTACGTCAGATGTGAGAGGAACATTTTGATTTTCAAACAAAGGCAAGGGTGGGTGACACAATTATTAGACCACTAAAATATTACAAACAGAAGCTAGTTTTTCATCTGTACAGATCCTCATCACGATGGACATCAGAGATCTGTTTGTATGGTGCAGCGCGCACACACAAAAGCTCACAAACCTGGCCAAATGTGCAGGCCAGGTTCCTTTGTTAAAAGTTTCAAAATGGGGGTAGACTCAAGTTAAAGGTGTAGTGTCAGATATTTTGTGGTTTGTCATTTTGTGGGGATTATTTTTGTCTCTCCATATTGTGCTAGAAAAAAGCTGCTAATCATTCAGCATGTTGCCCTCTACTGCCCTATGCTGTATCAGTGGTTCCCAAGAATCACACAGCTTTTCTTCTTTTTTCAAAGTGACTTTAAAGAGACAAGAACTCTTCCGGTTTTCTCCTAGGAATGTCTGAGGAATGTAATGTTTCCTTCCTTGCTCAACACACTACGAGTACTGGAAGCAACTTCAGAAGCATCTGTTGCATAATAGGAAGTGGTCAAAATGAAATGGCGTACAACCTTTCCAGTCTGATCCATTTTGCATCAAAGCTATTTAGAAGATCCCTGTTTCCAAACTGATTAGTGCAGAAGAATTTGCACATTTTTAAAATGCTCAGTAAAGGTTCTACATGACAAACATCTTTCTCATGGATCCACAATAAGAACTATGTTATGAATAAACTCAGGGTATTCTGGACTCAGAGCCCAACAGCAGTTGCTGATACAGCTTTTCATATGGGTGAGTGCTTTCACAGCATTCAATCTTTTCCAGGGAAATTACTTTCAGCTTCATCAGTGAGTGCCTTCTATTCATGAAGCTGTGATAATTTTTCACTGCTCTGGTGAAATTTCTATGTACAAATACTATGGTTTGAATATGCACAGAACAAGCAAATTAACTATTTCAAGCTCTCCCTCTTTTTTATAGATGGACACATCATATAATGTATGGCATGAGGAAATCAACATCCCAACTCAGAAAGATATATTGCATAAAAAACAGGCTCCTCAAAAGCAACACAACTTCATTGAGATGCTCCTACTTTAAAGTGATTGTCTCCATGCTTTTCAAAAAGCTATTAACGAGAATTGTGATCACATTGTTTAGAAGCCTACAGTGAGATTATTTTATGAATTTGGATTGCAAATCTACTTTCACTTGTTTCCAGTCTGTTCTTCTGATTCAGCACACTGCCTGCTTTTGTTTGCTTGTCTGCTTGTTTTGCTTTATTTAAATTCTGCTTCCATTCGTTCTGGTATCATTAAGCACCTCATTCAGGATCTTCCAGATTTTTTTTTCACATATAGTAAATGTACAGTTATTATTTCTGCACAGAGTCCAGTTTTTTATCTTTTAAAACAGTGCTTCCTTTCTAACGAAATCCCACTCTTCCAGGATTCAAAGTACATGCATATTTTTGGGACACACTGCAATACTTTGACATGGTTTTATAACATTTATTGTATTATTTTAAGTAAATGACTGAGTGCCAGTGGGTAATGCATGTTACAAAAATAAAATAATTTAACATGGTAGTTACATTTGTATATAATTTTCTTTTACAACTATTACAGCCAGTGAGCCAGTGGCATAAAGATACATGGTCCTACAGATTTCCGAATGCAACAGATGCTGAAGAACAGTAGCAACCATAATACCACAGAAAGATTTATATAAAATGTCATTTTCCTTCTTTACTTGCATCTCAGCTCTTCAACACTCTGAGAGATGCCAGTAGGCAGCAAAAACCCCAAGGGTTCTGGTTTGATATGTAGAGAAAGAGATACCTGTGCTGGTGGCATTCCCCGGATAGGTGGTCCTGCTGATGGTGACTGAGATAGCCATCCTTTTTGGAGGCCTTCTTCTCTCTTGGCCCACAGCTCCATGTCAGGGTATTTCTCAGTGGAAACAGCTGCACTCGATCTTTCCCGCTGTAGACCATCTGCTGCTTTTTTCCTGCTTCTTCCTGCCTTCTTCTCGTTTGCCTGATTTTG